CATAGAATGTCATCCCAAGGAATTCCTTGCTTCATGGCATTATCTCCCTTGAAACCTCCAGTGCCCTTGAGATAATCCGCAGTGACTCACTGAGACTGGACAGAGATCGTAAGTTAGACATGCCAGTCATACTGTCACTTCCTTTTAAATCTGTTTAGAGACAAAGCTTCAGCATTCGTGTTATTTGTCCTTGTAGAGTATGGCAAACCTTCATTATAAACAAGAATGGTGAGATGCATACGAAAAGCTACCATAATCAATGAAAGGTTGATTCACATTCCTACCCACTACTCCTGTCGCTCAAGCAGAATGCTCTTAAAACACATCTTCTCTATAAGCTTTTAAAAAAAATCCTTTCTAACCTCTTGCCCTCATGTTTCCTTATGTACTGTATCTGTTTTAAACAGTCATCTCCTGTACATCAGGGAATCTGTCCCTTTTACCTTTTTCCTATGAAGTTATTCTTGTTGGGGCAGGGGAATCAATGGTTTGGGAAGGAAAGGCTGTCAGTATCTAGTACTAAAACTGGATTTTAAAGCTGGAAGATCTTCACATTAACAGTTACAGAAGCACTTCCAATTTGGAGTGCCATGTGGTCTTTATTGTATTTCTCTTCAGAAGAAACCTATGAGCTAGGTCACTATTCTTTCCATTTTAAAGATGGGGGAATTGAGGCTGAGTCCCAAGAGCACACAAATGCATTCAGGGCAGAGATGAAAGTAAAGATCTTTTTCATTCGAGACAAGCTTTTTGTCTACTTGACTGCAGCAACTCTCAACTTCAGTTAGAAAAGTCTGAGAGCTCAAATTCATTCTGGTAGAGAAGTTACACAGACATATTGGAAACAGCAGTAAAATTATGGCATCCTGTTGCAGATCAGTTGGCTCCTGTAAGGTCTTCTGTTCAGAACTGGAGGACTTCCCTTTGCAGGAAAAGGTTGTTTAAAGTAGTGATGATCACAAAATCTGATTAGGGTAGATTTCACAATCAAATATTGGACCTTCCGCATCAGACTGCTTTTCAGATTGAGACCAAGTTTATGGGAGATCCAGTGAGCAATCCAGGAGGAGTTCCCACTTTTTGGTGTGTTTACTCCCCCCCCCCATTTATTTTTGGTGTCTATGTAAATAATGGACATGGGGGGGGGGGCGTTCTTTCAAACCCAATAAGTACATACATCTGCAGTCCTGAGATTCAGGAATCCCAGGAAAAGTGAAAAACATATATGTCATAGAAAAAAATACGAATAGAAACCTTTTCAAAACTAAGCACTGAAAAGGGTATATGTGTGTTTGGTTTTTTTGGCACACAGAGGTAATGTAGAAGGGGTTTTTCTTTTTTGTTTTCATGTTGCAGAAGTACACATGCACGTTTGCATTTTAAAAACAGACCCTCCCCCCAAAAAAGCCCCTTCAAAGTTTACTCATTTGCATAATGAAAATCTTAATGGATTTTGGTGGTTTTTTTAAAATTTTCAGCATAGTTCTAGTTTTGAAGGGGGTTCTGTTTTGTTGTGTTTATGTCATAGTACATAGGGTCTGAATCCCCAATTTGAGGATCATGTTTGAAGAGGCATGCAAGCATCGTACTTCCCCTTTGTCTGTGGTCTTCAAGAACACATTTAGCACTGCTCCTTCTAGTTCCACAAGAGTCAGTGGAAGATTGCAGGAGCAAAAGTTCTAGGCTTAGTTTAAAGTTACGGCTGGTACATTAAAGATAGTTAATCAGAATGAATTTGAGACTGAAATCTGGCATCAAGTGAAACCATAGTTTAATTAAATGAACTAAAGTTAGTGTGATTGTCTGAATGCAGACTGGTCCACTAGCTATGACTAGTCAGGTTCTGTCAAACCAGGCGATGAAATCACTGTTCATTGAGGCAGACTGACTGACCCATCTGCAGGTTTCATGTTATGCCTGAACTGAGCCTATATTTAGTATGAGATTGAACTTTTTGTGAGTATAGTATTGCATTTTGGGGTTGCATTTCTGTTTTTCAGGGTATTTATTATGTAATAATTAGAGAATAAGCCCACTTCCCAAAGTACTGTCTGTATTGTGAGGTATTGTCTACATACCTCACCTCAGACCCAGATTTGATATCATACACCATATGTAGCCCCTTTTCCCTCCAAGGAGTTTCCTCAAAACAATCCCATCAGACAGAGAAGACTGAGAGATAAAAGTTACCCAGCAGTCTTCATAGCTGGATGGTGGTAACTGGGATGCAGGTTTCCCCAGTTCAAACACTGTGACATGAGTGACTAGAACATTTAGTAAAGATCATGTTGTATAATGAATCAAACTTTACAAAATTACAAGGAAAATGCAGGGGAACGTAGCCTGGAATGGCTTGTGAGCATGCAGGCATCTAATGATCTGAGGGTATGAAGCTGAAAGCTAAGCATGAGTTGAAAGGCTGAGGGGAAGCTCCCAGGAATAATAAAGTTAAAAGCTGTTCTTTCTTTTTTGGTAGGGTTAGAGTATGGTAAAGATGTCTGCAGAAAGCCTCTGGATTGGGGCAGAAGGAAGCGGGGGAAGGCTTGAGGTGGTGGTGTGTTAAAAAGGGGTTTTCAAAGCAGAAGTCTGTCCAAATAAGGAGAGTTAGGATCAGACCTTTCTAAGAGGGCAGGACAAGTGAGCTGGTCATGGTTCAAAGCTTGATGCCACAAAATGGAGAAATAAAGGTCATGGCAACAATGGATTTATCTGGTTGCACTGTAAGGAGAACATTTTTCTATCACTGTATATTCAGGAAGGCTTGGGGTCACGAGTTACAAAAGAAAGCTAACTAAATCCAGAAGAATGTAAGACTTTTCACTTTGAGTCGAAACTCATGTGAATGCTGAGGAGAAAAGACTGTTGTGTGCAAGAGTTTTTATAGAATACTTTGAAATCATTCCATAGTGTCTTTTCAATATCTGGTCACTTGTTTTGGCCAAATTTCAGGGATTCACACATTCTTCTCTTACACATTTGTTACCTGTTTTATTTGCAACATATATAACAAATCTGGAAATTCACATCGCTGGAACTACTTTGTTGAGGTCATACCCCAAATGAAAATCCTAGCATGGACATTTGTTTCTTGAATTGCTGAAGGTGGAGCACACTTTTAAGCTGCTGTGTGTTTGTGTTCTGCAAACAGTCTTCATAAAAGACAGAACCGTGTCCCAGCATGAGAAACCAGTTACAGCAGGCTGGTGGGGTGGGAAATGTTTGCACAATGCTACCAGAACTATGGAAATGTGGCATTTCAAAACCCTCGTAGCAAGTGCCATCTGATACTATAGAGCCTATTTACTGCCTTAGTTGCTGCTGAAAGATTTTCTGGGAGGAAAGGTTTTCTTGGATGTGGGTTTTGAATGTGTGCAAAACAATTTAACTTGGCCTCTATATGTTAAAGGCTTTTCCCATTGTTGTATTAAGGATAATTTTTTCTTAAGGGAATACATGAGCTACCATTTCTAGTCTCCATACACTGTCCTTCATGTTAACATAAGAACATAAGAGATGCCAATGTTGGATCAGGCCAAGGCCCATCCAGTCCAACACTCTGTATCACACAGTGGCCAGAAATACCAGTGCCATCAGGAGGTCCATCAGTGGGGGCAGGACATTAGAAGCCATCCCACTGTTGACCCCCCCAAGCACCAAGATGACAGAGCATCACTTGCTCCAGAGTCCCTATCTATACCTTGTGGCTAATAGCCACTGATGGACGTCTGCTCCATATGCTTATCTAATTCCCTTTTGAAGCCGTCCATGTTGATAAGAAATCTTAGATATTCACAAAAGGGGTGTTCCGCTCAAGATGAAAACTTTCAATTTGTTCAATTTCTACTTGTAAAGCTCTAGATCCCAGAAGAAATTAAACCAGGCATCTAGAGCTATGATAGCCTGTGATGTTGTTTTGCTGTTTGTGTCACCTTTATCATGCACATCGGTTGTATTTGATTTCTGGTGTAATATGACACCATCATTGCAGGGACTGGTTTTATTTATTTATTTAAAACATTCTATGTCAACTTTCTATACAACTCAGAGTCCCCCGCAGACAAGTGACATTTCAAACATTTAAACAGCATTTTAAATACAACAAAGTATTTAAAAACAATTAAATAACACGTAGACACACAAACAAGAAGGAGGGCTAACAAGAGTTAGTGAGGGAAAGTCGGACAAAACAAAGTCTTCACCCATTGGTGGAAGACAACAGTACAGGCAATCAGATGACTCTCCCTGGTAGGGAGTTCCAAAGTTTTGCTGCCACGATCAAGAAGGCCCATTCTTGTGTTGCAGCCCCACATGAAGGAGAACCTCTGAAGACGACCAGAGTGGTCAGGTAGTTTCTGAATTTAGGGAATACAAAAAAAATTGGAAATGGTATAGTTCATAATAGCTTACACTGTCTCATTAAAACCATGCCATAGGAATTCAAGGGGATAACAATATATCTAGTACTTGTGTTGCTATGGCTAAATGCCCTTGTTTATTTAATTGGTCTGATCCTAATCAGATGAGAATCCTGGTTTAAACTTCAGATAAATGCAGGTGCACCTTTGTGCAGTAATGAGTTAACAAAGTTCTGTGAAGGTTGAGTTGTTTACCCTATTTGGCAGAAGAGATGTTTACAGGCTACTAATAGCCACTCCCTGTTCTCCTGCCTGATTTCAAGGAACTAAGCATCTCCTTTCTCCTATTGCCTGCCTTTAAACAAAAATCTCTCTCTCCCCACAATTCATTGCTTCTCTTCCCTTTGAATCAAAGCCTTTAATTTTTGACCCAGGAAGATATGTAATGATGCAATTAGATTCACTTATAATTGTAGTATTTTGACAGTACTAGAGGAGGAAGCAAAGCAACTTCCAAGGCCTTTGTGAATTGCTGGATGAAAAACACAGTACAGTCTCTTCTCTGTGCACTAGGAAGGAGTCTGTTGCTTAGCAATTAGGTAAAGCTTGGAGTGTAAAAGAATAAAACTACTGTCTCTTTTGCAGATCCTGCTGACTGAAGAATTTGTGGAAAGAATGCTAGAAGACCTAGAAGATCTGAATTCTCCAGAGGAAGTAAGTCTGCTTAACTCAACTCTAATACCCAAGGGGGATCCTCTGTATATTTGGTGGCCTAATTTGCTGGCTTGATGGCCTGGTTTCTTCCCTGTAAATATAAGGCTCAGTGTTATTTGCCATTATAATCCTATGAAAACCCTTTGTGGGGTGTTGTATGGTAGTAACCCCGGGATTATTTGGCCAGAGCAACGGGTTGGCAGTGACTGGAGGATGTTTTCTCAAAAGAAATCTATGCTGGCCATTTACTTAGCAGTTGACATCGTCTAACTGAAATCCCAGTGGTGTGTTCCTCTTGATCCCTGTAGAATGTTCCCTGTAGAATGTAGACCCAGATTTTCACTTTCATTAATGGAATTTTTTGTAGCTTCTCAATAAAGTACATATGTTTTCAATAAATGCTTGTATTACAGTACCAGGCTCTGTTGACTGTATGACCACTCTGCAGGACTGTTAATGGTTTTTCAAATGTACGTCTGAAATTATTCTACCTGATGTTCACCCAGGCGATGCAAAAACAATGTTAATTTTCATTTTGGGGTTGTATCTCTGTACACACCAAATAAATTTCTTCATCTGCTAGTAGAATAGCTTTTTCTATCCCACTTCCCAAAGTCCTACTGCTTTAATCCTGTTTAGTGCTGAAGTTATGTGTGGTCCCTGAATTAGAATACCACAATATATAAAATACCTCATGAGAATGTAAGAATAACCCTGCTGGATTAGGCAATGGCCCATCTAGTCCAGAATCCTGTTTCCAGGAGTGGCCAGCCAGATACCACCAGGAAACCAGCAAGCAGAGCCTGAAACCAACACTTTTCCAGGACATATACCATTTGCTCTCTCCCTTAGCAATATGGAAATCCCTTTTAACAGATATGGGTAATTGCCATTGATAGCCCTATCATCCAAGAGTTTGTCTAATTCTGCTCCTTAAAGCAGTCTGTCAGTATCCATCACTTATGGCTGCAAATTATGTCTTTTGTGAAAAAATTCTTCTTGTGTCTGCCCTGAATTGGTCAATTTCTTTGGTCCTGACTTCTAAGAATATTATTTTGATCTATTTTCTCTGCACCAGGCACAGCTTTATAAATCTCTGTCATGTCTTCCCCATTCCAATCCATCTTTCTTCTAAATTAAAAAGCCCTCAAAATTTTAACCTTTCCCTGTACCGAAGGTGTTTGAATCCCTTGATCATTCTTCAGCATTTCTCCAGCTTTATGATACCCATTGCAAGATGGGGCAGCCAGACTAGCAAGTTAAGTTTAAAACGTAGTTGCGCCATAGATTTATATTAAGACATTATGATGTTGGTCAGTGTTTTTCCTGGGTGGTAGCTGCCAGTGTAGATCCCATCGCTGTATAGGTGGAATTTTGCCTCTTTGTCTGCCATTTATTTACGTAGAATCTCATTTGCTCTTTGTAGCTTGAGTACCCACAGCCTAATTAGATGCTGCAAACTGCACAAGTTCACCACAGGGACTAGCAGTTGTACTGTAACTACTAGTTTCTGGTGGCAACTTTTGAGCAAACATGCTGCAGTGCCTGATTCAGATTGGGACCACTGCACAGGAGAAGGAAGAATTTCTACCTTCTCCCCTGAGCTGTTTTCAGTGGCTGAAAAGCCTGGGGGGGAGTCTTATTTCCTCTGTGGCTGTTTCAGAATTCCTCTTTCTGCCATACAGCAGTCCCAGTAGAAATCCTACCCTGCTTTGCATTTACACATGAGTTGTCACCAGGAACTAGCAGCTGCAATATAGCTGCAAGTCCCTGTGGCAAACTTGTGCAGTTCGTAATGTCCAGTTAGGCTCCCAGTTTGGAGAGATCTGCTTGGGTTTTTGCCATTGTACATTGTTCGTTCTTTAGCAAATTTATCTGCTCCGAATCACTTTAAGTCGGACATCAACAACAGCAACAATAATCCTTAAGGGACTCCAGTGGTTATTGTTTACTTCTCTGCATTCTATTTTAACAACATCCAAATAATCTGAACCTGATCACATATTCCTGTGTTTGATGAAAGTCGCAAAGAATGGTTGAGCTTCCTTTTGCAAAGCCATATTGAATCTTCCTCACCAAAGCTTGTTGTTTTATATGATAAATGTTAAGTATGACATTTAACTCGGAGGAATAGTTCAACAGTGATTTCAGCTTTATTTCAGTGAGATCAGCATACAGGCTCAGCCTTGTAAGGACTAGACCAGCTAGACAATTCAATAGGCAAAAACGGCAACTTATATACAATTCTGGCTGAGATAGCCACGCCCACAATACTTATAGTATCCAATCAGATTATATACATTGCAACCAATCATAGTCAATACATAATGACCAATCAAAACCATTCCCTCCAGAAGGCATACCATTGGTCAGTAGTTACATGTCTTTACAATCCGCATAATGAGCTATGGTAGATTAAGCTTTTACCACTATGTCTCTTAAGACATAACAATAAATAATTCTAGTTTTAATTATGATGTCTACCAATTTATGTAGAATGTTAGACTTAAAAGTCTGAAATTTCATGTCCCCTCCACAGAACCTTTTAAATCTGTAATACATTGAATGGGTTCTAGTCCTCTGGTAAGGAGGCTGATTTTATTGACATCACATTTTTGTTGGAATTTCAACAATTTCACTTTGGAAACTTTAGGGTGTATCCTACCCAGATTTCCAGCTTATCAACTAGCCTTAGAACTAGCTGCTATCTCAGTTCAGTCATCCTCCCTGGAAAAAGCAGTTCATAGTATCTGCTCAATATCTTCCACAGTGAAAACCAATGCCAAAAATTTATTCATCTTCTCCGCTATCCCTTTGTCCTCCTTCAATAGTACTTTTATACCTTTCTCTTGTAATGGCCAAGCCACCTCCCTGGCTGGTCTCCTAACCCTTGGCTCTGCTCTCTTAACTGCATGTGGAATTCATGTACTGTGGTCCATAAATACCTTGTCTGTAGACTTACGGCTTTTTGAAGTGAGCCAACTTGGCCTCAAGGAAGCACATTTGTTCCCAAAGCATAAGGAGTTATCCTAAGTCTTGTATACATCATATGATGAGGGCAGATAAATCTCTAAATTCAATTATCCTTTTAACAAGCAAAAAGAATGTAAGGGGGTTAGGTGACATGAGAGAGAGAGCAAAGTAGGACAAGGAATAGGCTGTGCAGGTGGAAACTGGAAACAGAAACAATAATTGGTTATATAATCTGTCCCAAATGAAGTCATTGGACAAGATTGCTTATTTGCATGTTAGCTTGAAACTCTGGCTTCTGTAGTAGTATTTTCTGTTTGCTTTGTATGTGGTGGATCATTATAAGGTATATCAACTAACAGTTTTCATTGCCTTACAGTTCAAACTTCCAAAGGAGTATAGTTGGCCTGAAAAGAAACTGAAAGTCTCCATCTTACCTGATGCTGTATTTGACAACCCACTCCATTAAAGATGACTGACGCCCACAAGCAACAGCTTACTGTATGCTGCCCAGTGACTCATGGGATAATTAAAGCAGTGAAAGCTCTTCCTACAAATAAGAGGATGTTGCTCCATAACCACTGCAAACAGAGGAGGAGTTACTCAATAGCAGAGTCCAGCCAGAACTGAATCCTGGTATATGGCTTTCTCCTTTTCATCATGACTGAACTCTGAACACCCTGCATACAAATGCGTATATAAGAGTGAGAGAAGTATTTAACTATGAATAATAGTGATAAGAATTCTTTCCCTCTTTTAGCTGGCTCCAGATCTCCCTGCTGCCTTAGCTCAGGATTTATGCCCCTCGTCTACCTTTAGCCACACATTTTTCTGGTGTCCAGTGGTTTAGATGTATGTTCCACAACTCAGAAACCATTTTTATCTAGGTATCTCCTAAACAGAATTCTTTATTCATTGAGAATTCTTATTGCTCCACAAAGGATATGGCATTTCACCACATGCATGTGAACTGAAGAAATACTGCGGTGAAACTTGGTATGCTTTAAACTGAGAGAAACAGTCTGTGCTGTTATGTCTCAGGCTTTATCTGCCGCATTAGTGCAAACAAAGGCAGTTGCGTTCTGTGCTAATGCTTAAATATGTGAATTCTGGAGAAGTGATGTTCTCTGCATTAGACTAAATTGGAGGAGATGGAATGTTTTTCTACTTTTTAAAGTGCCAAATTGTCATCAAACATTTCTCTTGATAGATTTGGCCCTCCTCCTGCTTCCTGGTTTTCAGCTTGTTTCACTTTTCTTGATGATGTTGGTTAATATGCTGTGATGTCATAGAGGTGCTTGCCAACTTGACCCAGGTAACTGAGTGCTTAAAGGGTATTTTAGCGCTGACCTGAGGCCTTTGAGCATCTTGCTTGAAATTAGCATACCTCTGTTCACTTTGCGTAGAGAAGATAACTCATGGCTCAGATGTTGGGAGCCTTCTTAGAGAAGAATGCCCTGCTGTGCAAAATTGTGCATATTTACTGGAAAGCATTTTCAGCTGCCTTTGTTGGTGCTTACTCTTAGATGCATGTGCAAGGGATCCATAACATTAAGCCCATCTCTCAATTGGCCATGGGCAAAGAGTCCCAAAAAGTTCTCTTTACCAATAAAGTAAAAATTAAAAATGTTGAGTTCCCCCCCCCCCGCACTCTTGAACCATGGCAGAAAGCCAGAAAGTGTCCATACATAATGGGTAGATGGCTTGTCAGACTCATGTGCAGTCTTGGTGCAGGCATTTATTGTGATACTACTTCCTGTCTGAAATTTGTTATAAAGTTCCACCAAACTTTTCAGTCTCATTGCAAAGAAATAACAAATGATCCATTAATGAAAAGATCCCTGGGAGACTATTGCTTCACCACCTCTGAAAATGTAAAGCTTTCCACAGAGCACGTATTTGTGCTGAAGTTGTAGTGTTTTATTTTTAATTCACATATTTGGGGAGACATACGTTTTATTTTAATGATTCAGACTGTTCTCAAATGTACATGCAAACACAAATTATAATTTTCAGAGTTACTGCCTGGTTTTGGGACTGCTAGTCTCTGAAATACAGACCTTGCCATTGTGCCTATAGACAACTGAACTTCCTAGAGACAAAAGAACCACCTCCTTAACTCCCTATCCTAACCCTGCAGAAAAAAACCAAAAAAGACAGCAAGGACAGGAGTATATCCAAACAAAGGATTAATTTTGGGAAAGAAAATACAGTGATTATTTTCTTTTCTTAAAAGCCTCATGGAAATTGACTATCATTCCAAATAGCTTGTTCACTTGGCAAGCTGGTTTTGTTTTCTGTAGGAATTTTGTCGAGAGGGGAGCAGTGCAAAAAAAATTTCTGTGCTGGCTTTCTTGGTTGAAAGCTATGAGTCAAAATGGCCGCTTTGCTGACTTTTCTTTTAAAAACTGTGGGCCTGTTCCCAACCACATGTTTAGTTGTCCTACTCTGAAGCTAACAACCTGGGGGAAGAGTTGCATTGGCAAAAATAAGTTTTTTTGTTTTTAACTTATAGAAAAACCTCCTTAAAGAGAATTAGCATCCATTCTCCTGTGAGGAACTATGTGGTTGACAGATGATAATTTTGAAACAGACAAATGGCCTTTGAGCATTATGTAGTTTCGAAGGGACTGTTACATTGTCCATAGGTTCCCTTGGGAAATACTAGGACCTTAGCTTTTTAGTTAAAATAAAGCAAACTTTGGGATGGGATGATACACTAGTATGTTTGATAGATACATAGAATGAAGGGCTGGATGTCACTGTTTTAGATTGTTATGCTTTGGAAGCTGATGAGGCTGTCATGCTGTATTGATCCCAATTCAAAGTCTAAGTTAATGCAAGCAGAATTAATTAGGGATGGAGTGTTGCAGTGTTCAAGCAGGCCAAGCAAAGTGTCATAGTAGAATCTCACAGAGACACTTTTTTTAAAAAAACCAAACCTTTAGCCTTCACTTGTAATGCTGTCACTTGCATGTTATTGCCAGGGATCTTACACATTGTCTGCACAGAGGAGTCTCTTTGACCTAGCTTTTACAAGCAGCAGCTAAAGTAAATCTCTTCTTGACTGTACCACTTGGAACTGCATTCTCAAATAATTGCATGCTCCTCTCTACCACCCCCCAAACCTCTGATATACAAAACTGTTGTGTCAAGGAGAAACTTGGGCAAGAATCCTGCTCCCTGACAACTGTCTGCCTACATGCGGGAGGAATATTCAGTTGTGTAATCTCATGGAGTTGTTTCCAAAGACAAGACAACCAGAACTTGGGAATCTGTGCAGCTGCTTGAAAATCTTGGAAATCTTGTGCAACTGCTTTGACAGTCTCGGAAATCTTGTGTTTGTGGTGGCTCTCTAGTGAGTCCTTGCATAGCTACGTTCTCCCATTCATCCCTCTGCATGGTTGACCCTTTCACCACTTCTCTCTGTTGATAAAGACCTGAGAGGTTTTCTGTCCAAGGAATGAAATATGTGACATCTGAGGCCAGATTCGTTGTTCTTCCCAAGGGAAATACATGGAATACTACGTAATACTAAACTTGACTACAGAATTCTTGTGTATTTCTTGAGAAGGGTCCTGTTAATTTCAGCTCATAAGTTTGCTACAAAAGTTGGGTGGATTTTATGCTCCACCATAGCATGTTTAATCTCTAGTGCTGCATGAGTATTCCTTTGTGGAGGAAAATAATTGACCTTGCAGTATCTTTATTTAAACTTTAAAAACGATTGTTTGGTATGACTTGCAGAAAGAACATTCCGATTTCATATCTGCTAGAAACTACCCACAAATTATGTCTTGGCAAATCAAAGGTAAAGTGCCCTGATGCACGTTTGTTTAATCAGTAACAGTTTATGGCAGTTTTTGCTGGGAGCTCTTCTTGTTAGCTCCCCAGAAGACGTAATAGAATGGCCTGGGTCTCTCCAATTGATCGTGTATCAGTAACTTTTCATGGGCAAACACTTAGACACTGTGGATAGTTGTGCTGGCCATTTTTCCCCAAAAGTTGGGAGGAAGAGTTTGCTGAGCACTCTTGCTCTCCGCCTACTAGTCACTGAAGTGGTTTGCAAGGAAACGAACTCTGGCTGCTCTTCAGTTGGTTTGCACCTGCTGCTTAATCTCTCCAGCACCTGGAGCTGTAAACACCCTTCCTGCCTCACTGCAACAATTATTAACTTTCAGTGCAGCTGTTGCACCAGGCATGTGCCAGGACAGTAAAAAACTAGCCACTAAAGTAAATGGTAACAAAAGGCTCATTCTGAAGTGTTTGCTAATCTAGTGTGAGTATAATAGTAAGAGAGTATAATAAGAAGGAGCAGCAAAAGTTTGTGTGAGAATGCTGGTCAGATGAAGTGCAAGAGATAAGTAGAGAAACAGAATCTTGTGGCTGGTGTTTGGCCCAAAGTGCTGTTGTGCTCAGGAGCTGGACTCCAGGAAAGTAACTGAGTTTTGTTGTTGTTGTTGTTGTTTTGCCATACAAAGAGCTCCAGGCACATTCCTCTGTATCCAACTGTGGCACTGGAACTCCAGGAGAATTTAGTTGTACATCAGAACTAGAGTCCATCTCATATGCTGTCTTCTCCAGTGGATCAAACTTGAGACAAACAAGCTCCTTCAGTCTGAAGCAGAAAAGCCTCTTCAGAGGACTGATACTTTGGTTGCCCATGAGATCACATAGCTCTCTTCTCTTCCAGAGCACTTTTCAGCAGTCCCACCAACGTGGTTGAGGGTTTTTAAAAAATCAATTACCATACAATTGTTTAATACCATAATCGTACAAATATTTTTTAAAGACTGCTAGAAAGATAGTGGGAGGGACCAACCTAGCAAGAAATGTGCGTTCCTAACAAAGGCAGGTACTTGTGTCATTTGAAGAGCAACAGCACAAGCAAGCTGTTCTGTTTTTATTTGTGGCCCTCTACACCCTCAGATTACATCCGTGTTTTGTTCTGATACATGAATTTAAACCTAGTCTCTGTTCACTGAGTTGATGTTCTACATGTATACTGTAAACCTCTGCAGCATGTTTTGTGCTGCACCCCCAGCCACCCCACTCTGTTTTGTAGACCTGGAATTGGAAGGCCTCTGTCTTGCACATGAAAGCATGGGCCTCACATTTGCAGGGATGCCAATGACGTCCAGGGGTGCTGCAGGGATTGCTTCACCTCTCCCACTCTATTCTTTTAGCAACAGGAGGAAAGCTGTAAACTGCTTTAAAAAGCTCCTTTATACATGATCCATAAGCACAAAAGCACAGGAAGTAGGGTCAGGGGGCAAATGTATTTGCAGAAATGTGTTTAATGCCTTGTGACAAAAAAATGTGTTAATGTTTAACTTTGCTCTCCCCCATTTACCACCATTGTATTTTATAGAAAAAGTGATAATAGTTTTGTATGTTGGCAATCCTGCCTTACTGTGGTATTTCCTTCCCCACCTTTACTTGTTCTGTCTATTTCAAATCCTGCTTTGGTGGGCATCCAAAATGTCAAAAAGAAAATGAGCCTGTAGCAGACGCGAGTTCTAAAAGGATCCCTAGGCTGACCTGTCTCTCCAGCAATTAACCTATGAGCCTTATGCATTTGCTGCTGCTTCGTTTCAGATATGATTCTTTTTCTTCTTGAATTGCTTACAGAGCATAAAATAATAATAAGTGATGCATTACCTTTGTAGTATCGTTCCAGGGCTGTCATAAAGGTGTGTCTTTCCTATTTTCAGCCAGCTGGCTAATAAGGAGGTTGAAAAAGTATTTTGAAAAACCCTCTCCACCTCTGTACTTCATGAGTCACTGCTGAAATTTGAAGTGTCTGATAGCCAAATAACATAATTATCAATAACAGTATGTGGGGTAAGTGGTTAAAGGGCTCCATCAAATGCCTTTTAATTTCAGAAAATTGATTTTTTTAAAGCCCAAATATAGGAATATGCTTGCCAGTTGATCTGGTTTTGTAAACACTTTCTTCTCTCCCTCCTCCCCATTGTTGCCCTTGCTCTTTTCCTAGTGAAGGTGGAAATCAACATGTCTACTGTTGTCTTCCCTGAGGTGGTTGATGGCAAAGGTCTGCATCCATCACTGCTGTTCTACGTAATATAGGGAAGAGGGATGATAGTATATGTTGTTATAGCATAGGCACTGCAGTAAGCAAGGATGACCACTGCCAAACCTAGTTAACATTTCAAGAAAATACAGGAGTATGCCTTACAGGGGCAGCTGGCTCAGGCTTAAGCAGCATATCCTTTAAAAGCTGGCCCTTCACCACTGAGTGATGCTTGATAAAGACTTCACCTATCTTAGGGAAAGCAAAACCTTTTAAAGTGATTAACAAGTGAGTTAATTCAAAAGATCCTGTGCTCTTACCATTTGACGCCTCTATTTCCTGGAGTGGCAATTTATAATATCAACAGAACCAAAATGCCATTATGAAGAAGCACCTCAAAATCATGAGCCTCATGGTCTACCCTTAAGCTCCTGTCCTGCGCTGGACCTGGGGGAGAGAGTATAGCAAATCCAAACATTGCTGCAGCTAGAAATGATAAATGAGAGTTTTATAAAAGGAATAAATTGATGTAGTGCCACACTTCAAGTGAAAGAAGAATCACCATTTTCTTGAAACAGTTTTATCTCCATAGGAACCAGCTCTGTTGGGGGGGGGGGGGAATTAATTGTTTTTTTACTGAGGGATAGAGCTCTCTTGCTGGTTGTTACTACAATTCTATATTTTGGATGACTGTAGTGCTAGAGAACTTTGAATGGAGTTGTTCTGTTGGGGGGGGCTAACCGTTAGACCTTTCTCAACTTTTAATTCTGACTGCTGTGGCTGCTTGGATAAGCCTCGGCTAAGGTGAACCTTTTTGTAGTTCATCTCTGTGTATGTGTGTTGTTGTCCCTTACAAAACCATTAAGGACTCTGCAGAAGCCGGTCTGAAAAAGGCTTGCTGTGCCTGCAGTGAGATTTTCAGTACTTTCTTAGTATGCCTTTTTTTCTACCAAAAACAATGGAAACCTAAACTAGGAGAGGTTTCAAAAATATTTTATATTAGTTTCTAATGTATATTCTTACAGTGTCACAGTGCTGGTGTGTTCACCTGCACGAAGCTACTTTTTGTAATATTTTTGTGAATCACTAAGCTTTCCCCTCCTCCTGTGTATTCAAGGTGCATTAAACTTGTTTGCATAATTGTCTTGTGTGCATTTATTGAGTGACTGCAGAAGTGATAAAGGTGGCTTTATTCTCTCCTTCTTGTGTGACTTGCTTGTTTCAACTATTCTTTTCAAGCTGCAGCCAGGTTAGGGGGCCCTTTTGTGTGTACATACAACAGAAACGCTCCCCCCTGCCGCCTTTGCTTATCAACAGTCCTCTGGTCTGTTCTCTTCTGCACTGTGTGACCTGTCTCGGGAAAAGGGGTTGTATTTATTAATGATAATTACCATTGCACTCTTAAAAGTCCAAGTTCTTTATCATCTTCATCCTCACAGTGACCCTCTGAGGTAAGTTGTACTTAATATTTTATGAGACTTTATATTTAAGAATTTTTTATCCAGCTTCTTTGGAACAGTTTGAAGCCGCTAATAATAAAAATACAGAAAATTACAATAATCTTTTTTTTAAAATAAATTATTAAATCAAGTGCCAAAAACTCACTGGCAAAGAACAACTTTGCAAAGTTTGTCAAACCTAACCCAGAGTAGGTGGTTTCCTGACTTCTGCTGCTTCTGCATGGAGATGGCAGATGATCTTGCCATTGAAGTTTGCACTTGTCAGGAGTCCAGGATAATAATAATAAGAAGAAGAAGAAGCTGCTGCCGCTGCTGCTGCTACTCGGGAGACCTGAGCTGGTGAACAGGCTTGTATAGGGAGAGGTGGTCCTTTTGAGCATGGGAGTCCCACAACATGAAGGGCACCAGCACCATGAACAGAGCCTGAAAACAAATAGGAATTGGATGTAGTTGTGCAAAAATTGGTATTTATTTATTTATTTATTTATTCAATTTATACCCCGCCCTCCCCGCCAAGGCAGGCTCAGGGCGGCTTACATAAAATGCATATTAATAATTAAGTATGTGTTACTTAAATTAATAATTAAATACAATTAAAATCTATCAAAGAAACAACCAAAACCCATAAACAAATCAGTTATCCTAAAGTGCTGGAACAAATTTGTATGCATCACCCTGCAACCACTTACAGAGAAGTCATGGCTTTCTGTACCAGTTGGAAGTTTCCATGTAACCTTCCGGGACACCACCTCTATGAAATAAATTCCAGTAGTCCAAGCTTGGAGTTACAGAAGCATGGATCAAAGCAGCATGGCCAGCTGAATCTGAGAGGGATGAGTTTCAGAATCAGATGTAATTGGAAGAAGGCACTGCTGGCAGCAGTGCCAGGCTGCTGCATGACGGAGTCTGGGTCCCTGAGAACTCTCAGACCGTTAATCTGATCAGAAAGGGACAGTTGGACCCCATTTGATCTTCTCTGAAACATCTACTTACTATTGTTAGGTAGAGGATAGAGGATTATATTCTCATCCAGGAGTCTTTGATTCAAGTCATACCTCTGTAAGTTTCATAGATGGGGGCTGCTCATATGATTTTTATTCACAGGATTGCAGGTGGAGAGTAATAGTAACCTGTTGAAGGCCACCTAATTTGTGCCTGGAATCTGAGTCCAGTACACTATCCATTGAAAGACCAGCTTTAGAGAGACCATTCTATGAATCAACTTCTGTATGTTTTTTTTTTTCCTTTGCATAAGGTAGGTATTACCACATTTATATGACCAGGTTCTCCTGTAAAGCATCTTTTGAGTTTTATGTACTTGATAGGAGAACCTTGCCCTTCAATGCATTGCAAATGGGACATGCAAATGTGTTGTTCACCCAAATATAATTTAAATGAGAAAGGTGGGCGGCTATCAGACAAAGGCATAAAGCAAAAATATCACTGAAGTAATGATGCAATGGCTTCTGTAGCAGCACTGAACAATTTTGTGGTCATGCGTTTTATATTCTGGTCATAATTGTTTTAATAAAGGATGAGGTAGAATATCTTGAATGGGAGGCTAGGGAATTGATGGGCAGAGCAAGGGAGATGAGAAAAATGTTCTTTCATCCATCAAGAACGTAGACTTCATTGGGGTACCTTCCCAGAGACTGAAACTTGCTCTGCAGCAAAAAGAGCCAAAATCCCAAAGACTTGCTTTCTTGAAACAACACTGTATGTTGTGGGAAGTCAGTTCTGTTGCAGTACAGTTACACTGACAGCAAATGAATCAGATGTGTGTAGCAACAGCTTGGTGAGTACAACTACAAATGCTAAACGATGACCTAGAGCAGCTTCCCACCCACCCTGTACTTGCATGGTGGACCAACATTGTTTGTAAATTGTGTATGAATTAATAATGGATGTAACACGGATTACCTTTCCTACACAGGGTCACTGGTTTTTCATCAGAACTAAGCACCTGCTTTATTGTGTCATTGCGCTTTATTGTACAGACTCTGTGTGCCCTATAAGGCTGCAGCCACAATACAGGATTCCAAAAGCATCTCCAACATGGTTTCAGTACCTTTGAAGGCCAATATGCTTCCCAATATATAAGGCCTGTATATGAAGTACCTGCTTTCAGATTCTTGTGTAGTATCTGCCCCAGTGGCATCAAAGTGTTACTTCTGTCTGTATCATCCAGTGTTTCCGTTCTATATGGAGGAAGATGTTCCAAACTATAAGTATCTCTTTACCACTGAGATCTTTAGTTCATTCATTACTTGTCGGCATTCTTATCCTACAAATCACAGCCATGTAGATCTGAAAGTTCAAAAAAGGCTTGTCTAGATTAGGGGTCCCCCGCATGGAGCCCACCAGGATCTTTCCTGATACCCACCAAGTGTTCTCAGAAAGTGAGTGGAGCCAGGTGGGACTTTTGCCCAGCAGGGCTTCTGATTGGTCACTGGAGATCTGATGGGCTGTGCATATTTTAAAAAATGGTTCAGTATAGGCTTGCCAAGACCCCCCGGGGGGCGGGGAAACCCCTGCCCCAGAGGCCCATTCCCTGCCGCCGCCGGATCGGGCCCCGGGGGGAACTCCACCCCGACGTGCATGTCACCAGGAAGTGACGCAACCACGCTGGGCACACTCGGGGCGGGGCCACAGTCATCTGAGGGAAAACTCTATGGTTCCCCCTCAGATGGTTGTGGCCCCGCCCCCAGTGTGCCCAGCGTTGTCACGTCACTTCCTAGTGACGTGGATGTGGCGCGTGCGGGCACTCCAGGATCGACCCGGGAGTCCCTCGATCCGGAACAAGGTGAGACTTGGCAACCCTAGTTCAGTAGCTGCTGCCACCCTGGCACAAAGCAGTTTCTAAACAAAATGTCAAGAGTCCCCAAACATTTCTATTTATTTATTTTATTCTATTTATATCCCACCCTCCCCACAAGTGGGCTCCGGGCGGCTTACAGAATTGGTACCCAGTACCATAAAACCATACAAAGATTAAGACATTCCAAAACGTTTAAAACAATCCAGTAAACAAGTGCTAGTGCTGATGATCGTCTATCAGTAGTTCAAATGGCATATTGTATAACATACAACCAATGTTTCTAATTCCATGGTCTTTGGCATTGTGTGGTAGTGCGGCGCATTCTCCAGGCCTGGGCAATCCAGGGCACCTTTGAAAGTCTGACACAGGGTGCTGGGCATAAACCACAAAATGGCTGTGAAGGGGGGGGGTGGGGGGGGGGGGGGGGGTTTGAGGTTATGCATAGTTCAAATATGAACTCTTCAGCATTTTAGACAGGAGTTCTGTTTGACCAGGTGTTTTATAAAATTAACACACAATTTTAAAATATTGCCTTGCATACACACAGCTTGTCTTCAGTGCTATGGTGAAGATCCTTGTGCTACAGTGGCAGCTTCTGCCATATCGATGGGTTTTAAAATCTGCACAGCCAGTCATGTCCCGTTGGGGCCCCAGTTGCCCCGCTTGGTGGGTGCCAAGAAAGGTGTCAGTGGGCACCATGTTGGGGATCCCTGTTTTACAGGCTGGATCGAAGATCTGCAGTGGGGCTACAGCGAGAGTAGACGGGGATCAGAACAGAACCCATCCTGGGTTTTTTTAATTAATTGTATTACTTATTATTCAGCAAGAAGTCAGTGTTGCCATTTAAGCGTGGAATATGGTATCTGGTGTATAGTGAGCATCCTGAATTTCTTAGTTTGCCGTTTAAGATTAAAGTCCTTGATATGGAAGGCAACTTCAGATAAAAGGCTTTGGAAGGTCTTTTAACAATTAGGGAATATGGGCTGTATGAAGATTGTTCCCTGCACAGTTCCATGTCCTTCACACCAGTGTTCCCTCTAAGCTGAATTAGGGTGAGCTAGTTCATAGTTTTTTAGCCTCCAGCTCACACATTTTTGTCTTAGCTCACAAAGGAGGGCCCCAGAGCAAACTAATTTATGCAGTAGACAAATCACTCACTCACAACTTTAATGCTAGTCCCTCACAAAGTAGAGTTTTTGCTCACAAGATTCCACAGCTTAGAGGGAACATTGCTTCACACCTGGGGAATAGCACCAATAGCAGCCCCACAAGCATAGTGGTTAGGAGCATGAGCTATGAACTGGAAGCCCACAGTCCAAGTGTCAGCTCAGTTCTGCGTGGAGTTAAGATTTGAAATAACTGTATCAGACACAACCTGTGATTTTAAAAATGTCCCTACTTCTGAAGCCCATGTTTTCCCCAATCTCCATTTCCATCTTTCCTTCCATGTCCAAATTGTGTGATCCCCCCCCCCCCGTGATGTGAATATGTGCAGATTTGCTTTATTCCTGATCTAAATTCTGTGACCAGAATAATCTCAGTGCAGAATTTGGAGGGGAGGGTGTTAAGTGCCTGCAGAGAATTGTCATACATGATTAATTGTTGCACTTTCCTTATACGCAAGAGTCCATGGGTGCATATTGAGGGAGGCACAAAACAGCTAGCTAGCAAGGGGAGGTGGCTTACTCAGCCATTTAAAGAGAGAGTTGTATGCTTGGTACCCTGAGGCAATATGCATCTAGCCTGGGGTGTACTGTTAATATTTTACCTGCTTTGAGGTTAGACAGAATGCTAAGTACCTATTGAGGCTGGAGGGGGCCTGAGGCAGTTCCTTAGGGCTAGTGGCCTACAGGCAACTCTGG